TCTCCTCCTCTCTCTCTCCCTCTCTCACACGCTCTCCTCCTGTCTCTCTCTCCCTCCCTCACACGTTCTCCTCCTCTCTCTCTCCCTCTCTCACACGCTCTCACGCTCTCCTCCTCTCTCTCTCCCTTTCTCACACGCTCTCCTCCTCTCTCTCTCCCTCTCTCACACGCTCTCCTCCTCTCTCTCCCTCTCTCTCCCGCTCTCCTCCTCTCTCTCCCTCTCTCGCATGCTCTCCTCTCTCTCTCTCACACATGCTCTCCTCCTCTCTCTCTCTCGTCTCCCTCACACGCTCTCCTCCTCTCTCTCTCCCTCCCTCTCTCACGCTCTCCTCCTCTCTCTCTCTCCCTCTCTCACACGCTCTCCTCCTCTCTCTCCTCTCCCTCACATGCTCTCCTCTCTCTATCTCCCTCTCTCACACGCTCTCCTCCTCTCTCTCCCTCTCTCACACGCTCTCCTCCTCTCTCTCCCTCTCACACGCTCTCCTCCTCTCTCTCTCTCACACACTCTCCTCCTCTCTCTCTCTCTCACACACGCTCTCCTCCTCTCTCTCTCACACACGCTCTCCTCCTCTCTCTCTCTCGTCTCCCTCACATGCTCTCCTCCTCTCTCACGCTCTCCTCCTCTCTCTCTCCCTCTCTCACACGCTCTCCTCCTCTCTCTCTCCCTCTCTCACACGCTCTCCTCCTCTCTCTCCTCTCCCTCACACGCTCTCCTCCTCTCTCTCCTCTCCCTCACATGCTCTCCTCCTCTCTCTCTATCTCCCTCTCTCACACGCTCTCCTCCTCTCTCTCCCTCTCTCACACGCTCTCCTCCTCTCTCTCTCTCCCTCTCTCACACGCTCTCCTCCTCTCTCTCTCCCTCTCTCACACGCTCTCCTCCTCTCTCTCCCTCTCTCACATGCTCTCCTCCTCTCTCTCCCTCTCTCACACGCTCTCCTCCTCTCTCTCTCTCTCTCACACGCTCTCCTCCTCTCTCTCCGCAGTTCAATCGCTGCATCACCTCCCAGCTGATCAAGTGGTTCAGTAACTTCCGGGAGTTCTTCTACATCCAGATGGAGAAGTTTGCGCGGCAGGCGGCGGGCGAGGGCGTGGCCAGCCCCGACAAGCTGAGCATGAGCCGCGACTCCGAGCTCTTCCGCATCCTCAACCTGCACTACAACAAGGCCAACGACTTCGAGGTCAGA